TTGAGTTAACCAAAAACATTCTATTGGTACCTTCTTCTTGGGTGATGTTCTTCTGGGTTTCATCCCCTTCCCATTAATGTCCAAATCATCACTTTTGGATTCTCCAGATTCTTATCCAAAATAAAGTTTGAATTATTTACTACATTAGAGTTACTAATGCCAAGAAGAACATCTATCGTTGAAGAGGCAATAGATGAAATTGAAAGATACAACAATAAGTAAACAAATCAAAATATGTTTTTATGTGTATTTTTTTGATGTTGAGGTGATTGGAGCTGTAGTTATGCAGAGTCGTGAGGAATTTGAGAAAATGCATTAAATCTACCCATTGAATACTTCCATGACATGTTTGACACTAGATTAGAGAAAATAATGTATTGAACTTAAAAAGGACAATGTTCCAATCAAACCAATTGGATTGGTTGTTATAAGTGGAGTACTCTACGAAATATACCTATTTTGAAGAAGAGTACTGAAATACTATGACCTATTTAGATTGAGCAGAATAACATTAAACGAGTTAAGAGGATGTAAATTGCAAATTGATAACGATTTAACAAGAACACATCGTGAATACTTTGACCACAAAAAGGATAATCACAAGAAAATCGTTATTGTCAATTGGAACGATTCTAGGTCAGCACTTATAGTACCTAGTTCTGCTATAGTTTGTAATACAAAGATGTTTAAAAGAAGATAAACGAAAACCAAATTTGTTAAAATATATGAGTCATATACAACATTAATTATATTTCTATAGTATAGATTTTATCTATCACACTTACGTTTAATTGATGTCACTCATAAACAGAATGTTATCAAATAAAACTTAAATTAAGTTATTTCTAAAGTTATTACGAAATCACAACGGAATTGATACAATCAATCAAACGTCAAGTCTCATCAAATTGTAGTGATACGATACGAATAGTTTTGTAAATATTTTCTAATGAAACACGTAATTCAAGGGTATGTTTACGAACAAATAAATCAATTAATTAAATAAAAAAATAATAATCAATTATATTAGTAAATATTAATTTTATACTTTAACTATCAATAATTTCTAAAATGTCAAATTACTCATATCGGAAATAAATATTTTTTTTATTTAATTAAATTTATTTAATCGTTTCGAAAAAATTTCTTAATTAAATTTAATTTTGCTCATCTTTTTCCCAAACAATTTGTTTTGACGATAATGGTTTTTGAATTTAAAGTTGATGCCTTTCGGATTTGCTTTCACGTCTAGATTGATAATAAAACCATTACGGTCTCTCCTTCTCTCTCTCCCTCCGACCACACTTATTAATACATGGCACTTGAAGCTTAACCGTTCGCATTGAATTACGTCGGATCGGCGGCAGCAGCAACGGCGGCGGCGTTGCGACGCTCTTTTCGAACCACGCCCTCTACCGGCAAAAACAAACACGCCGACGTCTCAATCTTACGTTTACATCTCCCACCACTCATATTTGAACCAATCGTGGACTCCGAAACAACGGCACGCCCCACAAACGATTGGCAGATGTTCTCGACAATTGAATGAGACGTATATAGAGGATGAGAGAGAAGGATGGAAAAAGGGGAATCGATTTTTAGAAAAAGAGAAAAAATAAAAATGAAATGGAAAAAAATTAAAATGTTTGTTTTTTTGTTGAATTAGGATTTCTTTCGGGTATTTTTTTAAATTTGTTTATGAATTAATAAAATGAATTATGAGGATTTTCAGGACACATGCGCTTTATTGAAAGTGGAAAGGGAATCGTGGTGTTCTTCGTGTGTGGCATTTCCACCACGCGCAACTCGATACGGACAAAAGGTTGGAAAAGGTGCGACAAAGATAGAGTTAAAACGACCAGAGGTAGGATTCGTAGAGTAGGATAGAAGATTTTTCGATGGGCGTGGTTACGTAGGGGTCCACCGTGTAATAAAGATGACTATTTTGAAAACTCACTCAGTTTGACAGCGTACTTATCCAAGTAAGCACTTGTTTAGGAGTGACTTGTTTTGAGTAAACACACACAGCACACTTGATTTTCGCCGCGTATATAGTGGATCGAGTTATATTATTAGTTACATTAGAAATCGAAAAATAAAAATTGTGTTTCCATGGCTTTTGAAGATCGTTCGAGTCCAAATGCGGCTCCCAGTCCGGAAACAACTGATAACAACATGACCATCAACTCACCAAATTCCCCGGAATCCACAAGAACATCACCCTACACTTGCACCACCATCACCCAACAAGAAGGTACCAATAGAATGTTTTTGGTTAACTCAAATTCCACACAACAAAAAATCAATCATCAAAATTTCTTTAGTATCGCCTCGTTTTTATCCAGTCCGAAAAGTAATCACGACGAATCTTTGTCCGTATCCCCATCAACATCACCATCAATAACACCAACGACAACCCCCATGTCAACCCCATCGACAACTCCAATTTCAACCCCAACAGCAACAGAAATTAAAGAAACATTACCAAAACCAGGAATTTTCTCCCAATTTCTTTCCAATGAGAAACGAGAGTTTCTCTTCAGAGCCAGTTTACCATTTCCTTCATATCCAAGATCACCCAGTACCGATTCGATGGTTTCTTACAACCCCTCGGAATCATCAAACTCGCCACCTCCCCAAAAAAATGACGAAGAACCAACGATCCAGACGCTAAAGTATTCAATCAGAAACATTCTTCAACCGGATTTTGGAAAATCCGCTGTACAAAAAATTAAGACATCTCCAAAAATCAGTTTTAAACCATACGAAAATGAAAAGAAAACACAAGCACCGTTAGGAAGTTTATGTCAGACGGTTTCACAAATTGGTAAAGTCCAAGATGTGCCAAGAATTAAAAGCCCGGAAAGTAATAAATCGATGACGTCTTCTGGGGAAGAAGGTGGCAAAAGCGAGGATGGCAAGGTTCCTCCTGTTTGGCCCGCTTGGGTGTATTGTACGAGATATTCTGATCGACCCAGTTCAGGTAAGAATCGAAAAAAAATTGTTCTATTTTTATTCGATTGGTAACACTAAAATTGATCACTTGTGGTGATAAAATTCTATTGAAATTGGTATAAAGATACACGTAAGGAGATAAATTAACACTATTAAGGCAGCAAAATGGCATTTACATTAACATTCTAAGCGGTTATTGTTCTGATTCTTGTGCAACTCCATTTACCAAACGACCAATAATATTGTTTTTCAATTCACGATAGAGTGAAAATTGCACAAAATGCTTATCTTAACAGCATTCCACTGTGTACATGTGGGTAGTAATTTTGCTTTAACAATTGACAGGTTTTTGATTAAATCACGCGAGAACATTTTACATAATCTCATAAAAGTAAAAATAGGCAAGAAAAGATTTCAAAAAAATTAATAGTTTTAATTAGAGAGGTCAAAAATAGATTTGCAAAGAGATTATCTTATTTTTGCACAAATTGTCAATCACTTTTAAAATTTGTTACAAGTTCAAAGTTTATATACGTTATTTTTGTATCGATTGATTTAATCGCTTATTTTTATTACACTCATCTTCATTAATCGAAAATATCTGCAAAAAAAAACGATACTACCGGAGATTATAACGTGATAAATTGCTAAATTTAGAATTTATTGTAAATAATTTTAGGATATTTATCTTTGAAATCTATCGATAAGATGTTTTTTTTTTGTTGGGTCGGATTGGATTGAATTGGATTATGTTGGTAATCTGGGATGATTAATAGTTTATAAAAAAACGTGACCAACTTGTCTAACTTAAATATTTTATACTATAATTATTGTGTAAAATTAATACACAACCTTAAAATCAAAAATTAATGAATCTAAATAAATATTAATGTTTGTTATTAAGTAGAAATATTGTTTGCATAAAGTTGTTTGTTATGAATCATATAAATGTAATAACCAATTTTAGTCTAGTTATGTGTAACTTTTAGGTGTAAAGCAGAAAAACTTGAAATTGAAGTTTTTAGTTATTGAACAGGTTGGGTCGACCTGGACCAACCTGTTCCAAATATATGAAGTTGAAACTATTGATCTTTGATGCTACTTTTCTTATGCAGAGGATATTAATAACAATATGTAAGGAAGTCTGCAATCCACAAACCACTTTTGCCTTAGAGCGGCCAACCTTAACTTGCCCCTGAACAAGGTTTTTGATGTTAATTAACATTAATTAGAAGTTTTGAACAGTATCAAAAGATCTTCTCCATTTTGGCATTACCATCATATCAAATATCTATTGTGTGCTGAGGCAACGAAGTTTTATCTTCGACGAACAGTAGAGATAGTAGCCGTTGTCGTATGCATTTGAGACCATATACTTATACAAATATCTATTATATACTAAGTCAACGAGGCTTTATCTTCGCTTGCTAACGAGGCATTGAAATAGAAGTTATCAATACTCGTACATGTATCTACTGAAACCACGAAGGTTTATCTTCAAGCTGACAATGGATCGTTACTTGTACAACATTCGCTTGCACATTGATCATGACACTTATACTGTGCTAGTTTTCTTGCATTTACATTGACAATCAAGTTTTAGTTTTGATATACAATGAATAGAGATTTTAGCCAAGTTCGAGTTCTGATCGAGGTACTGTTTTTGAGAGAAATCTTTGGCTTTGAAGATTATTAATTTTCTTATGAGTTTCATATTACTAAGTACATGGACCAACAATTAGCTGCTTTTGCGTCTTTTTGACCTTTTGTGCTTTATTCTTATGTCACTTTTCCTTAAACATCTATTTTTGAACCTTGTCAGAAAAACATTCATTTTATCTGGTCATTGTTTCCACAATATTACAAGACAATGTTACTTGTACTACAAAAATGATAACAGAATAATTGATCAAATTATTTCTAATGCCAGTGAAGATCCATCTAAACATGCGAAGCTATTTAGTCCAATCAGAGGTAAACATCTCGTTTGAATTTGTCAAATTTTAGAATCAACTTAGGTTGGAACTAAAAACTAAATATAAATAAACGAAATCGGTATGATTTCATCGACTTCAATTTAAAGAGGACTAATTAATCTACAATGTATACCATTTAGAAAGCTTTTAAGTTATTAAGTACGTTATGATTTAAAAAAAAATCTCAATTGATTTCAATTAAGGTAAAAATAATCAAAGTTAATTAGTTTTAGGAACAATTACGATCGATTTTCAATCTCGATATAAAAAGAATCGAGTTAAGTAATAAAAAATTAATAGTCGTATCGTCGATAAGAACCTGTAAGTGCGAACGAAGCATTTAATTATATAGCTCGTTAGGTAGAATAACATTTATTATAGAGACGTACGTACGAGGTCTGACAGCAATTAGCTCTCTGATATTTGGAACCACTCTAGATTATCGTTACGATAAGTTCTGTTCTTAAAAAAAACTGACAGAATCTTTATAAATAAACTTGTTGATGATCATCAAAGTAGGTACACGAAATTAAATTTAAAAAAATTTTATTTTTTGGATACCTCTCTTGTGTGTAGGTATATATTTATTAAATTTATAGTTTTATTATCCCGGAAAAATAAATATAGTTACATTAGATAAAACTTGGTGATTGTAAACACTATAAATTAATCCAATACTTCAAACACATCTACCTGCTTAGTTTAGATATATACTCCATCGTTTATCACCAAGAACCCATTTAACGATATACATCAACCGTTTTCCGCACCTTGCTGCTTGCCCAGAAGCAGAGAAATAAGTAACGAGACTGGAGCGCATCGTTTGTCACTCGTCTAGGTGCTAAAAATTATAAGTAAAACTCCCGAATAGTGGTAAAGCTGTCGTCGCGGTGATAAGTGCTTTTTAAGTAGAAGACCAGTTTCGAGGCTTCTCGTTCCTGTAGGTGGACTATTTTTAGAAATATGAATTTCTAAATGATTTCCTAAAACAAATTTATAAAACCTTCCAACTCTTCGCCGACTTACATTAATGATATTAATGACATCTGCCTTACGATATCTCGAAGCGTCTATCAGCAATCTGTCGTTTTCCAAAAAGCTATCATCAAAGATGTATCGACATGTCAACGGGGACGTGTACGTGTCCCAGACGGAGGCAAAAGCAGCGATTTTTCAACACATTTCAAACTGACATCGAGAACCCATTGTTTTCCTTTTGACGATCTGTTCTAAAACAATTAGTTATGGGTTCTGACTTTTAAGCTACCGTTTTTAAAAGATATCTTTTAAAAGATTATTCATTCTTTATTAGTTAGTTCAATTTTTAGTTCAATAAAATTATACAACAGTCTAGTAATAACAACTAAAACTAGAACTAACACAAACATTAGAACTAACACTAGACTTATAAAAGCAGTAGTTCTAAATTTTCAATAAAACATATTATTTAGAAACCGAGGCAGTCGTGCTGCCGAGGCAGTAGTTCTCATACTTAAGATAAAGTAAAGTTTTCTTTAATACAAACGTATTAAGTTTTAAAAATTCATATAAAATCCACGTCTTGGAATATGAGCATGAAAATTTCCCAAAGTGTTAATAAAAGTGTCCTCTTTCCAATGAACCAACCCGTTTTGAAAACTAACTTTTAGTTTTTGAAAAAACAATATTTGAAGTTTTGATAAAATTTTCGATGTTGCAATTTTCATCGATAACTTTCAAAATTCGCTATAAAATTCATTTCTTGAAGGATCCTCGTGGAGATATCACATTATTAATTAAAATATCCTCTTTTTAATGCAACAAGCAGGTTTGAAAAATTGCTTTTAGTTTTTGAGAAATCAATTTTTGAAATGATCGACAATTCTTTCGAATTTTGCAATTTTCGCCGATTCAGATTAAAAATTCGTATAAAATCCAGTTCCTGGAATATGAGTATGAAAATCTCCCAAAGTGTTAAGAAAAGTGTCCTCTTTCCAATGAACCCACCCGTTTTGAAAAATTGCTTTTAGTTTTTGAGAAAACAATATTTGAAGTTTTGATAAAATTTGCGATGTTGCAATTTTCATCGATAACATTCAAAATTCGCTATAAAATTAACTTCTTGAAGGATCCTGGTGGAAATATCACCAATTATTAATTAAAGTGTCCTCTTTTTAATGCAACAAGCCGTTTTGGAAAATCACTTTCACTTCTTGAGAAATAAATCTTTGAAATGATCGACAATTTTTTCAAATTTTGCAATTTTCGAGGATTAAGATTTAAAAATTCGTATAAAATCCATTTCTTGGAATATGAGTATGAAAATTTCTCAAAGTGTTAATAAGAGTGTCCTCTTTCCAATGAACCAACACGTTTTGAAAAATAACTTTTAGTTTTTGAGAAAACAATATTTGAAGTTTTGATAAAATTTTCGATGTTGCAATTTTCATCGATAACATTCAAAATTCGCTATAAAATTAATTTCTTGAAGAATCCTTGTGGAAATATCACCAATTATTAATTAAAGTGTCCTCTTTTTAATGCAACAAGCCGTTTTGAAAAATNCAATATTTGAAGTTTTGATAAAATTTTCGATGTTGCAATTTTCATCGATAATATTCAAAATTCGCTATAAAATTAATTTCTTGAAGAATCCTTGTGGAAATATCACCAATTATTAATTAAAGTGTCCTCTTTTTAATGCAACAAGCCGTTTTGGAAAATCACTTTCAGTTATTGAGACATAAATCTTTGAAATGATCGACAATTTCGCCGATTAAGATTTAAAAATTCGTATAAAATCCATTTCTTGGAATATGAGTATGAAAATTTCCCAAAGTGTTAATAAGAGTGTCTTCTTTTCAATGAACCAACCCATTTTGAAAAATAACCTTTGGTTTTTGAGAAAACAATATTTGAAGTTTTGATAAAATTTTCGATGTTGCAATTTTCATCGATAACTTTCAAAATTCACTATAAAATTAATTTCTT